GTTCCCGGGACCCTCCACAAACACACACACACACACACACGCACGTATCCCCCCCCCACCCCAGGCATGGTGCCTTGCCCCGGCATCCTCCCGGCATCCCGCCCCGGCACCCAGCACCCTGCCCAGAGCGGTGCTTCAGCTCCCAGGGCAGTGCTTGAGCACCCATCACCCTGCCCCAGTACAGTGCCGTAGCTTCCAGTACAGTGCTTCAGCTCCCAGGGCAGTGCTTGAGGTCCCAGTACGCTGCTTGAGCACCCAGGACCCTGCCCCAGTACAGTGCCTTAGCTCCCAGTATGGTGCTTTAGCTCCCAGCATCCTACCCCAGTACAGTGCTTGAGGTCCCAGTAAACTGCTTGAGCACCCAGGACCCTACCCCAGTACAGTGCCTTAGCTCCCAGTACAGTGCTTTAGCTCCCAGCACCCTGCCCCAGTACAGTGCTTGAGGTCCCACTATGCTGCTCAAGCACCCAGAACCCTGCCCCAGTACAGTGCTTTAGCTCACAGTACAGGGCTTTAGCTCCCAGTTCAGTGCTTTAGCTCCTAGCACCCTGCCCCAGTACGGTGCTTCAGCTCCCAGTACACTCCTTGAGCACCCAGGACCCTGCCCCAGTGTGGTGCTTTAGCTCCCAGCACCCTACCCCAGTACAGTGCTTTAGTTTCCAGCACGCAGGACCCTGCCCCAGTGCGGTGCTTTAGCTCCCAGTGCAGTGCTTTGGCTCCCAGTACCCTGCCCCAGTACAGTGCTTTGGCTCCCAGTACCCTGCCCCAGTACAGTGCTTTAGTTTCCAGCACCCAGGACCCAGCCCCTGTGCAGTGCTTGAGCTCCCAGCACCCTACCCCAGTACAGTGCTTGAGCTCCCAGTGCGCTGGCCCGGCACCCAGGATCCTGCCCCAGTGCTGTGCTTTCATTCCCAGCACCCAGCATCCTGCCCAGCTCCCACCACCCTGCCCCAGTACGGTGCTTCAGCCCCCAGCACCCTGCCCCAGCACCCAGGTGCTTCAGCATCCAGGCACCCAGCATCCCACCCCAGTACAGTGCTTTAGCTCCCAGTTCCCAGGACAGTCCTCAAGCATCCAACCCCCAGCACCCTGCCCCAGTACAGAGCTTTAGTTCCCAGTACAGCATCCAACCCCCAGCACCCTGCCCCAGTACGGTGCTTTGGTTCCCAGTACAGCATCCAACCCCCAGCACCCTGCCCCAGTACAGAGCTTTAGTTCCCAGTACAGCATCCAACCCCCAGCACCCTGCCCCAGTACAGAGCTTTAGCTCCCAGCACCCTGCCCTGTCCCCAAGCACCCTGCCCACCCCAGGTCCCAGCCCTCAATCTGCCCAACACCCTGCCATACCACCCTCTCCTAGCACCCCATCCCACCTCTGGGCTGCCCTAGCACCCCTCCCCAGTACCCCCCCTCCAAGAAGCCCCCACTCCCCGGGAGCACCCACGCTCCCAGCCGGGTGCTGCCACCTCCCCACCACCTTGACCCAAAAAGACCCAAACTTTCACATCCTGGGGCGGGTTTCCCTATGGCAGGGGTGTCACCCCCATCCACCGGCTGCTTCGCACGCTGGATTTTACACCCAGCTGGGAAACGACATCATTTTTGGGGCGGAGGGGGGTGTGTGTGTGTGTGGATTTTTAGGGAGTGCTCTGCAGTTTAGAGAAAGCTTTAATCTTGAAGTTGTCGCTGGCTCCACGCTGCTTTGGAGGAGGGAAGCGCCTCCGAGGGCTCTTTGTGATTAACGGGATGGCATGGAAGGGAGGGAAAGGGGGGGACACACACACTTGGGGGACACCACGGTGCCCAGTGGCTTTGGGTACAAAGAACCCATTTGTCTGGGACGCGGGGGAACGTGTGGCCGGAGGAGCCAGGGCTCCTGGCCGAAAAGCCAGCGCCCTGAGACACCGGCAACGGGGAGCTCTGTCCCGCCATCCCTCCCACCTCGTCCTTTTTTTTATCAGCTTTTTACTGCTCCGGGTGTGTTTACCCAACGGTATAGTCCGGGCTGATGACTGTAATTGCGCAAATAAAATATTAATTGCCGGGTCCCCGCGCGTGCCTGCGGCTGTGGGAGTAGCGGAGCTGTCAGCTGCAGGTCCCGGGGAAAGGCAAAGCCCTGGTGTGGCTTTGAAAAGACCATCTTCCCCCTCCCTCCCTCCCTCCCTTCCCCCTCCATGCTTAGGTTTTGATTTATTAATTATCTGAAGCTAAAGGAAGGAAGAGACGGATATAAATATGCTTGTTTCAAAAGGAAGCGAGCGCTCGCATCAAAGGGTCTCGTGCTGGAGATAGCCTTGACTCTCCGAAAACTTGATTTATTTTTTTTTGTTCATTTTTATTTTTTTTTTAAGATTTGCTGAAGTTGAGAACTCGGTGGCTCAGGGAGGGGGGAAAAAAAAACCCAAACCCAGCAGCTTTCTAGAGATGATAAAAAGCCATCCCCTTGATCACAGATGAATTAACGATGCTCCCCTGGGTTTCGAGCCGCGCTGGGTGTCGGGGTTTGGGAGATGCTGGGGCCGAGTTGTGTGTGTCAAATCCGGGCGCCTGCACGGGGACGAAACCCAGCGAGGACTTAAATTAGTG